ATCACTGATTACACAATGTAATAAGGAAAAAGAGCCCATTCAGAAGAGCAATAACACTATAAAATACCTATGAGGAAAAAGCCTCAGAGGAACATGCAATTTAAATGAAGAAAAATTACATTACTTTACTAAAGAACATAAAAAAAATCTGAAGAAAATGAGGCTATTCCAAGTCTTTGATTGGGGAAACTTTGCAGGGATGCTGACAACATTAAAGTATTATTTCAGCTCAACATCATTCAAAATCCCAATATAAGTTTTTATTGAACACAATAAACTTATTCTAAGATTTTTCGGGGATTATGAATCTGCTTGAATAGCTGAGAAAAAAATTGAACCAGAAGATTAATGAGTGATGACTTGTTATCAAAACATAAAATACCATAACATGGTATGGGTTTTGGGCAAAAAGAGAAAAAAAGATCAACTGAACAGAACAGAGATGGACAAAAATTTTATATTTGATAAAGTAACATTTCCAAGCTTTGGGGGAAGGGCAAACTATTCAATGAATGGATGTGGGTCAACAAACCAGCCACTTGAGGAAAACTAGGTAATGTGATTTCCCATCTGTGCTGGGTATCTTTGGTTTGCTTCTCCAGACACTATCTTCATTCTTTTGTGCCCTGATCATTGCCTGAGAGGAGAATCTACATGGACTCTATCACAGAGCTCCTCGGGTCTCTTACTTGGAGCCAGGCCAAAGCGAAAAACAGGCAGAAAATCAGAAGAGGAGAGTGGAGACGGGGTACCTGCAGGGTCACCTCAAGCCAGTGCCATTTTGGCCACATCACTGTAAGTAGACCTGTCATTACTGAACTTTTGGCACCTCATTTTGAGCATACCATCAATTTTCTCTTAAAATTTGTTGACATCATATCATTCATAAAATTAAATTCCAGTAAATTTAAAGACATAAATCTATTTTAAAATTTATAAAAATATTAGAAGTATGGGAACACACTTATAACTTAAGGTGTCAGAGATTATTTTTATATATTTTTTAATTTTTTAAAAATTTTATTTTTGTGTAGAAGAACTGGGTGTAGGCCAGAGGTGCAAGAGTTGAGAGAATTCACCAGAGACAGAGTGGGAAGCAGAACAGGTAGATTTACTGAAAGACATGGCTGAGGGGAACAGCAGGGAAGACAGGAGAGACATTTTGCACCATATGTGTTAGCTCCCTGGTGGGAGACCAAATTCAGGCCATAGTGGTCGTAGTTCTGGGACTTAACCCCTAGGCCACCAGGGAGGCCCAGAGATTATTGTTAAACAAGACACAAAAAGAAAATTCATAAATGGAAGGTTGAATATATTTGTTTAAAGCAAAAATTTCTTGATGATCAAGCAGTCACAAGTAAAATTAAAAGAAGGGTAGAGAGAAGCATCTGAAATTCAAAACCAAGTATCATTATCTGGACTATATAAAGATCAATTTTAAATAAAAATATGTTTTAGACAAATAAAATTATGTACTTTATATAGTCATATATGTAAAATAATTTGTACTAAGCATTTTTATTTATATAATTATATATTAAATATTTTAGAATCATTTTTTAAAAGACACATTATAAGATTCTTAATGTTTTCAGTAATCGGGAAAATGTAAATTAACATAAGATACCACTTTTAACTATCAGACTGACAGTTATAAAGATTGATAACATCAAGAGCTATTAAGCAAGTAAGGAAATAGACTCTTGCTCACAGTCAGGGAGAGTGTTTAAATTGGCAAGATTTTTGGAGGAAAAATCTGGCAGTGACTATTAAAATTATAAATGTGCATCCCTTAAGATTCCATTCCTTGGCAACTACCAAGGATGAAAAGTTGCAAATTTTCTCAAAGATGTCTCTACAAGGATGTTAATCATAGCATTATTTATAATAATAAAAATTTCAAAACAATATAAATGTCCATCAACTGTGGAATAATTAACACATTCATACTACAGAGAATATGCAACAGTTTTTAAAAAGAGGTATATCTCTACATACTGACCTGGAAATACCTCTGGTACATTTTGTAAAATGTAAAAATCTATCCCAATTTGGGTCATTAGGTAGGCCATGATATCATTTATGTAAATTTAAATTCCTATGAAGATGAAAATATATTATTTTGTGCTTAATTTTATGCACATAAATGCATAGGTGCAAATCTAAAGGATACACATCAAATTATATTTAATGTTACCTTTGGATAGGAAACTCTGGATTTATTGGGGGGATGATGTCAGGGATGTTTCACTTTTTCTGCATTCTGTATTTTTCTGTATTTCATTATTTTCTGTACTGTTTGAAATTTTACAATATGAATGTATATATGTCTTACCTACAAAATTGTTACTTCTTTAATGAATACTTAGAGCTTATATTTAATTCCTTTGGAAAAAACACATAAAAGAAAGAAAGAAATGAGCTTCAGAATTAAACCTAAGTGTGACTTGAAGAGTCTTGCTTAATTCCCCTGGAGCTTGTCCCTTCCTGTGTAAAATGAGGGTAGTTCATTGTGAAGACTACATTTGATAAACCTGCTAGATGGGTAGCTGACTTCCTTGTCCATGAACTAGTACTGGTTGACCTTTTCTCTCCCTTCCTTTTGACCGTGAGAACCTTGTGGGCCAAAACCGTACCTCAGCTGCCCATCTGTCCTGGATTCCTGTGTAAATAGAAGTTCAGTTCCATTTGTTGAAAGGATGAGTGAATGAACAAACCACGTTTGCTCAAATTTAATGGATAAACATATGTTCACATATGTGGATTGGTAATGGGTAAATAAGAGGAACCTCCTGGCTTCCATCAGGAAATCAAATGCTTTATGAGAACAATAAATCAAAGACAACCAGAAATTTGTGCCAGAAGGATAAGAATTTTTGAGCAGGAAGACTTATCACATAGATCTGAGATTTCCCAACTATCTTCTTTAGAACCTCCAGCTGTACAGAGTGGTTAGGCTGCATGGGTATGGGAGGGTTTTGGAAAGTCGAACCGAGAACCCAGTCTCCAGACCAAGACTGACTATACTAAAGGACAGATGTGACAATGACAGTAGAACTCTGACTCCCAGTCTCTGCAGCAACCACTGGAAAGTAAAACTACAACCTCTGTAGCCATCAGCCCAGATGATTAGGATTCTGATTACCAACTTGTCTGATTTTTGATCCCACCCACTGCCTTCTCTACTTTCAACTCAGGACCAATCAGAGAGAGCCAAAAATACTCTCCAAACCAATCACATAAGATGCCCCACTTCTAGTTAGCTGATTCCCAGCTTCCAATGTCAACAAACTAATTAAAGTACCTGTAGTTTTCCCTTTTTTCCACTCCTCTTCCTGTCTCTCAGTCTCTGCCAAATACTAGTGATGCCAACTCACTCCCTTGCTATACAGCATGCTCTAAATAAATAGCCTCTATTTGTTCTCATCTCAGTGGTCTTTCTTAATTTTCACAAAGCCTTCTCCCACATTTAAACTAGATATTGTACATGCCATAGATTGGGGTTTATATATAAGTTTTCATTTTTTAAATTCCACTGCTAAATTTTTCTAACTCACCAGTGTAGATTAATGCAAAGAGCTAAACTTCTGAAGGAATCAAAGGATGCTCAACTTGCATTAAACCAAGAAAGAAACAAATGATATGCAGATAGATGGCAGCAAAAGAAGGCCAGATATCGCTTCTCGGCCTTTTGGCTAAGATCAAGTGTAAAAGAAGGCCAGATAAAGACAGGGCTGAGTCTGGACAATGGTCAGAGGCTTCCAGACATCTCTGTGGGCTTTTTTCCATAAACCAGATACAGCTGAGTTCAGAAACTGCAGGAACTGGAATTTCTAGGTGGAATGCTCCTTATCAGTCTCTTCTCAGGGGTGGGCTGGACTGAATCTCAAACATAAGATTGTTGAAATGTCCCCCTGCCAGAGGTGCAGATAAATAAACCAAATATACATAAGATGTTAGAGTGTTTAAAAAAGAGGAGGATGGTTGGGAATGTCCCAGCTCCCACCTACACAGAAAAATGGCTTCTTGGATGCTGGGATTGGAGCCTGCTCATCTACCCACGGCTGTTTGCTTGTCTGAGATCCTAAAATTCCTAGCATTACTCTATCCAATCTTTAATTCTATTTAAAATAGAATATGGCTGTGTTTTTCAAACTGTTGGATGTGAATAGATGTCTCAGCAAAAAAAGGAGTGTTGCAGTCAAATAAATTTTGGAAGTGCGGGGTGAAACCAAGTTAAACAAATTTCGTTTTAGCAGGACTTTGTACAATCTTCAATATGCTAATATGTGTTGTGAGTCTGCAAGAAGGAGGATATAGTGTGCAACGTTTTCCAAACATTTTAAATTATAGAAATTGGTTTCCTGCCCACCTATTTACATCTCCATGAATATCATTCTGTGCATATGATTTTGGAGACAAAGGTTTGAGATGATGCTACCTTTCAGAGGAAAACTGCTAGCTGGTTAACACCTCTTAACCTACTGGAACTCACCATAGGGAGGATAAGGAGGTCAGATAAGAAGTGGCACAAGAGAGCAGTTTGTGATGGAAGAGGACAGGATCCCAAACCAGTGCTCAGGGCTGATGGAAGTTTGAACTGGGTCTCAGGTCAGCTTAGTACAGTTTAAGGAGACTAAACATAAAAGTCCAGATGGAGGAAGTCAGGATTATTTTCATCCAGTTTGAAATTTTCCTTAACAGTCCTAATATCAGTATCTCCAGGAAAACAAAGAGTGGCCAGGAGAATCACAGTAAAAGGTGGAAATAGAGATTCAAGTCAAGGATTCTTTTTCTAACTCTTCACCAATGATGGTTAGAGTCTGTTTTAGAGTCGAAACAACTGAGGGTTCGGAGATGATGCAACTCGTCTGATGTCCCAGCAAAGCCGCTTTTCTTTCAGCAGCCACACCACAAAGTCTTTGCTAAACCGCAAGGGAAGGGGTGCTAAGCATTAAAAGGGAGGTGCTAAGCATTAAAAGGCATCTGCATGCACTTACTTCAGAATCACACAGCCCGTTCCTGCTGGTGGCGCTATCCAGAACACCTGGATCCTCGTCCTCCTCCGGGGGGTGCTTTCAGTGACTGCAACCGGGCAGTTGCTCATAAACTGTGTTTCTTCTTCATCTATGATCTGTGGAAAACCAGGGGAAAATAGACACATTAAAATGCAATAGCACTTTGGAAAGACTTTTAAGTTTCCAAGTTGACACTTCCTTAATTTTATTTTTAAAACTGTCATTTTGCAGTAGCAGCTCTAGATCCCCAGACACCAGAATAGTGCCTGGCACAGAGTCCCAGGCAAGGCTGTGGGATTAACATGAGGGCAAGGATTTGGCACATGTCTGTTCCCTGGGACCAAAGTGTAGTGTCAGCACTTGGAGGAACAGGCCACTAGGTGATGATCTTGCTCATTTCACAAGAACAACCATGTCTCACTTCAGGGAAGGAAGAGAGGGTTGGGGGATATGTAATCCAAAGTAAACATGATATAGCTAGACTTTGTCATTCAGTTACAATATTATAACTTTAACTTAACCAAAGTACCCAAGTCTCCCGTTTGATAGCTTTTTACTTGTGCAGTCCCTACTTTCTTCATTGTGGTGTTCTTCCAAGTTAACCATCAAGGTTTCCTAGGACATGGCAAAAATGCTGACCCCATTCCCATTCCCCAAGGCAGTATCAGCATTTTTCCTGTTTACTTCAAGGTCTGGGATCAGTACTGGCTTATCCCTTTATTAGAACCATAGACTCTTAGATCTAGAAAGACATTTTGTGGGAAATCATCTAAATCCAATGGGTCACCAGTGCCAACTCCAATTGATTCATGGTAGCTGTGGATGAGCAGTGTTAATAACATTAATAATTAACATTGATTGAGTGTTCAGTACTTGCTAGGCACCAAGTTCAATGCTTTATCTGAATGACTTATTTAATCTTCACATACAATTTACTGAGATCATTATATCCATACTGTTATCATTTTACTTTTTAAAAATTCCTTTTTTTAGGACAGCACTTAAAAATAATTGGCACTAAACTCTTTAGTTAATCATATATTTTTATTACTGAACAAAGCAAAGGCAAATTTCTATTACATTTTATGTCTGTATTCTTTTTCCTACTTCCATTTTCATCCTTTCTTTAGCACCCACTCCTAAGTATTTATGTCCTTCTGAGAACATATATATGTATATATAGCTGACACTGTATATATATGAAGTGATGTAGAATTTCTTTATATTTAAATGTATTTTTACACTTAACCTTATGCTTTTGAGAGAAGTCAATGTTATTACAGATGGTCCTGACTTATGATGGTTTGACTTATACCATATTTTCCTACTTTAAGATGGTACAAAAGTGATATATATTCAGTAGAAACTGTACTTTGAATTTTGATCTTTTCCTGGCCTAGTAATATGTGGTATGATGCTCTCTCTCTTGTGATGTGGGTGGTGGCAGCCTGCTGGGTGCTGCCTTTTATCATGAAGGTAAACAACATACACTCTACAATGTACTGTCTCTTGATACTTTCAATTTATGGTGAGTTTATCAGGACTGAACCTATGCTAAATTAGGAAAGGTCTGACTATATGTAACTCACTGATCATGACTGCTGCCTAATATTTCACTGCATGCACAGACCCCATTACACTTGTGCATTCTCCAGGGAGGCACACTTTGCTGACTCACAGCTCTTTGCCTCCATAAATATTGCTGCAATAAAGATCCTCATACTGCTTTACTTATGAAGCTTCCATGAGAGCTTTTCAGCCATGGAAGCCATGCAATGGGATTGCTAGATTGTTCTGTAGAGGGGATGTATCTACTTTTATTCTATTAACTATGCATAAGTCCTCCTATTTCCCCATATCCTCATCAGTACTTGTGATTACTGGACTTTCTAATTGCTTCTACTCTGATGGATGTAAAGTGATATCATGTTTTAATTTAATACTAGAAAATTTGAGCCCCTCTTCATAAATGTGTCATTTTTCCTTCTGTGAATTTTCAGTAGATTTTTCTATCTTTGCTCATTGATTTGTAGGGCTTTCTAGATATGAATCCCTCATTATATACAAATATTGTTCTGTCACCCAGAGATTTATCTTACCATTTGAATTCCCCATTTAATAGAAATAACTTTAATCTTATTAAAGTCATCAATTGCTCTCCTAACATTTGCACTTTTGTCATCTTGCCTTAAAAATTGAGATCATAAAGATACATGTAGGACTGTACTTTGAGTTTAGATTTAGAGTTTATATTTTTAATATGACACAGTACAGCTCCAACTTCATTTTCTCTCTTCTGTGAGTTACTTAAAAAATAAATTAATAAACTTATTTTTAAAGGCAGTTTTAGATTCACAGTAAAATTGATCAGAAAGAACAGGAGTTGCCATATATATTTCTTTGTCCTCATCCATGCTCAACCTTCCCCATTGTCAACACCTGAATCCAGAGTGGTATATTTGTTACAATCCATAAACCTACACTGGCACATAATTAGTACCCTAAGTCCATAATTTATGTCAGCATTCATTCTTGGTATTATATATTCTATGGGTTTTGACAATGGTATAAATGACATGTATTCACCAATACTGGCAACAATATTTTCTTATAAACATTTATTAGTAGCAAGAGGATTGTTGTTCTTTCAGATTTTCCTTTGTAGACAATCAGGTTATCTGTGAACAAAGACAGTTTTTCTTTTTTCATTCTTCATGCAATGGTCTATTTCTTTCTTTTTAAAATTTTTTGTTAGTCCTTTTACATAATTTTATAACTTTGGGAATACAACTTCACACCTTCATATGTGCACATGTTTACTTCCCTTCCATCAAAACTCCAGTCTTGTTATCCTAGCTGCTTCCTCTAGTAAACCCTCTTTCTCCCCCATTCCTTAGATAACCAGTACATTTTTCAAGGAGTCTTAAAATTATTCTTGCTTTGTGCTTTGTCAGTTTTTCTTTGGCTATTTAAATTCCACAAATGAGTGAAACCATCCAGTAACTTTCTTTTACTTTCTGACTTACCTCACTTAGTTTAATCACTTCAAGAACACTTCATTTTTGTCCCCAAAGGTTCTATTTCATCATTCTTAATAGCTGAGTAGTATTCCATTGGTTATATGTTCTACAATTTCTTTATCTGTCAGTGGGCATTTAAGTTGGTTCCATGACTTGGTTATTGTGAATAATGTTGCAAGATGTGCATACATTTTTTGGTATTAGTATTTTCGTATGTGAACAAAAGCAGTTCTATTTCTTCTTTCCCAACCTGTACATTTTTATTTCCTTTTCTTGTCATAATTTTTTAGTTACAGCTTCTCATATGATGTTGAAAAGTAGCAGTGAGAGGGGGCATCCTTGTCTTGTTCTTGATCATTACAGAAATCTTCAAGTTTTTTTTTTTACTGATAAGTATGAAGTTAGCTATAGGAGTTTTATAAATAGTCTTTACAAGTTGAGGACATTTCTTTCTATTCTTAGTTTGCTGAGACTTTTTATCATGAATGGCTGTTGACTTTTGTCAAATGCTTTTTCTGCATCTACTGATATGATCATGTGATTTTCTTTCTTTAGCCTATTGAGATGAGGGATTACATTAATTGATTTTCAAATGTTGAGCCAACTTACATACCTGGGATAAATTTCACTTGGTTATGGGTTACCTACATGCATATATTGTTAGAGTTGAATTGCTAATGTTCACTGAGGAATTTTATCTGTGTTCATGAGAGATCTTGGCCTGCAGTTTTCATTTTTTGTTTGGTTTTAGCATTAAAGTGATGCTAGCCTCATAGAATAAGTAGAGAACTGGTATAATCCTTTCCTTAAAGGTTTGGTAGAATTCACCAGTGAATCCAACTAGGCATGGTGCTTTATATTTTGGAAGGCTATTAATGATTAATTATTGACTCATTTTCTTTAATAGATATATACTATTCAGAATGTGTATTTCTAGTGTGAGTTTTGGCAAATTGTGTCTTTCAAGGAATTGACTCATTTCATCAAGGTTATCAAATTTATAGACATAAAGTTTTTCATAATATTTCTTATTATTCCTTTAGTGTCCATGGGAGCTGTGGTGATGTCCCTTCTTTCATTTATGATATTAGTAATCTGTGTGCTTTCTCTTTTATCTTAGTTAGCTTGGGGCTTATCGATTTTATTGATTTTTTTCAAAGAGTTCGCTTTTGATTTTGTTGATTTTCTGTACTGACTTCTTGTTTTCAATTTGATGTCTGCTCTAGTTTTTACTATTTTTTTTTTCATGCTTAGTTTGAATGCAATTTGCTTTGCATTTATGAGTTTCCCAAGATGGAACCTTGGGTTTTGATTTTAGATCTTTCTTCTTTGGTAAGTATATATTCAATGCTGTATTTTCTTTAAGCATTACTTTTGCTTCACCACACAAACTTTGGTAAATTATGTTTTCATTTCCATTTTAGTTTAAAATATTTTAAATTTCTTTAAAAATTTCTTCTTTGACTCCTTTGTTAGGTAGAAATATATGGCTTAACTCCAAGTATTTGGAAATTTACAGCTATATCTTTGCTAATGATTTCTAGCTTAATTCCATTGTGGTCTGAGAGCAGACATTGTATGATTTCTACTCTTTTAAAGTTTTTACAGTGTGTCTTATAGCCTAGAATGGGCTCTCTTGGTGAATGTTCCAGCTGAGCATATGAAGACTGTGTAATCTACTTTTGTTGGATGAAGCAGTCTATAGATGTCAATTATATCTAGTTGATTGATGTTGCAATGGAATTCAACTATGTCCATACTGATTTTCTGTCTGCTGGCACTATCGATATCTGATAGAGTGGTATTGAGGTCTCCAACTATGATAGTGGATTCATCTATTTCCTCGTTAGAGTTCTCTATTTTCTTTTTTTTTTTTTTTTTTTAAAGATTTATTTATTTATTTATACAAGCACTGGGTACAGTCAGAAGCGCGGGAGGGTGAGAGAATTCACCAGAGCCAGAGCGGGGAGCAGAGCAGGCAGAAGGACCGAAGTACACTGCTGAGGGGAGCAGCGGGCAGCAGGAGAGGTCTGTGCACCATGTGGGACCCTCCTCCAGTGGCCGGGGAGCAGCCAGGGATCGAACCGGCGCTGCAG